CGTAACTTTTTCGCGGCAGGATACGCATCTACTCTCACATTGTTCGCGCCGCGTACCGCGCACGCGGCCTCTCTGGCATTTTGCCATCTTGGTGGTGTGCGTTTGCAGGATTTCGCGCCATGGGAGTTGATGTTTTTTACAAATCACGTTCTTTTTGCTGTAAAATGAGTTGTGCCGTACCCTCAACACTGCATTTCACGCTGGCAGCGTCGAAAGTGCCTGGGTAAAGCATATATGCTGCGACTAGCTGTCTCGTTTTCGAACGTTTGGGTGGAAAAGAGAGCATAATTATCGTTTCTGAGCGGATCGCGTGTTCGAGCCACAATCGATATCAAATCTATCTTTTCGCTCAAAAAGCCGGAGTTCCATTAGGAAAATTCAATACGCTCAAGCGATGGTTGCATTTTCCTTTTAGCCTAAAACTTGCCTTGCAGACTAGCGAGCGAATGTTTATGCCTTCCGCACAACGTCTTTCTAGTCATTTTTGCACCTCTACTGGAATGCCAAGAGAAGTACAAATTTCAACTGTAAGCTCCTACTTGAAGCTAAAAATAGGGTCGACTTAGGATCTAGTACTATATTTTGTTCATAAAAACGAGAACTTCACGCAGTTTCATCGAGAAGGGTGTGCACAGCATAGCGATGAGCCTTTTTTACGTTCCATACTCTTCAGGAGCGCGTCAGTGAGGATGGAAGAGCTAGTTTCCTCAACTCACTTCATGATTTCGGGGGGGGGGGTTAGCTAATTGGCTTTTCTGTATTATTTCTTTCTCAATCTATTTATAACTTTGATTCTGGTGTCTTGCGCTCGCGCCATATTCTAAATAACCAAGTTGAGTACTTCCTCAAAGGTATTGACTCCTTGAAAATGATTATGTGGTCCAATAAAAAAGCGCCTGGCGGCTCGCTAAAACCGATAAAAACGCATACGAGAGTTTGTGATTATCGCAGTTATTTCTGGTCTGCCTTACCTTTTCTCTCTCTTTGCCATTCATATTCCTCTTTGTCTAGCGACTTACTTTTTTTTCACAGTTCTCTGCTATGCCATAACAAGTTGGTAAGTCAAACGCAGATTTATTGTGGTTACGCGACTTACAATTAAGGGGGGGAGGATACCATGGTTGTCTAGTTTCCGTCTAAAGGCACGTGCAAAACGGAAACTAGACTACTTCCTTGGAATCAATGAAAACAGAAATTATATGCAAGAGATATTCATTCTATTGAGAATATAAATGTTACAGTTTCAAACATTGTAATCATTATAACAAGAATAACTTAAACAATCAAATCAAATCTAAATTAAATTACATAACACAAAACATCTTGGTGGAAAATATCACAACAAAACGTGGTAAAATATACGCAGTATAGCAGTAGATATCAATTGTGAATTGAGTATTGGTAACATGATTTGGTACACCTGGGAAGAGGTCTCCACCGTTAGTGCCCAGACGGCGTTCATCCATTCCATTATCGAAAAGTCACACCGCGACGCGGTGAAAATGATGAGATTGGGGAGCAACAAATAAAGGCATAACGAGGAATTGAAAAATGAAGAAATAAGAATATATTGACCAGATATAACACTTGTATACCTTGCTCTATTATCAGTAGTGGCTGAGGGCGCGTAAAATAACTGGGACGCCAAAGAGAGCCACCTCGAAATATTGCGTTCGCACGTTTCTCAAATGATGATATAATAGCGAATCAATTGATTTGGCACAGATATAGACTACCACTACCAACAACACAAGGAAATAGAAACCGAGAAGTCACTTTTTCGTGGCCTACGAGATTGACCTAGAAGACTCTCAACCCTTTCTTTGACCCTCCCAAAGGTCATTAGTAGTTCACTGTAGCACCACTACGTTCCCACTAGCTAGTCACAGTTAATTAAATAAACCAGCGATTATCATCTAGTCGATGCAAGTGAGAGAGAGAGCGCGAGAGAGTACCGACAGCTGGAGGAAATCTTCTCTAAGCTATTATTGTTTGATAACTGCTGTTTAACGCCGCAGTGCGCGATACACAAGTTATCACAAGAGTGCTGAGTGGTGGGCAAAAGTCGGACAACGGTAGTAGCGTAATAGGGAACGCAACTGCCCGGTAAGCAGAAGATGCGGGTTCAAATCCCGTCCGTGGTCCGACTTTTGCCCACAACTCAGCATTCTTGTGAAATCTGCTCTCTCGCCACATAAAGAGGATTAAATGTCACACAATCCGGAAAAAACGCGCCTGGTTTGTGGATTCCTCCGGGGGTGCTGTCTGAAACAAGCATAATACACAGTACGCTATCTTGGTAAGAAATTATCACTTACCGATAGCGCGATCTTCTTCCCAGAAGCCGTATGCCAGCTCATTTTTGTTTCTGAAAAAAAGTATACATCACATAACTTACATATAACTCGATACCATACTGTGGCGAGCATTGGCAAAAAAAAGTGAGCCACCAATAGAAAGAAACGTGCACAGCAAAAAAAAACATAAAAAGGAGAAGAAGTTTCAAATTACCGAAGAATTTATTATGCGAAGGAAGGCACGAAAAGCCATAAATTCGCTAATATGAGGAAGAAAAGCATCAGACACGTGAATGCAGTCTCCATTGCGAAAGCCTGGCAAGGTGCCAGCGTGCCAAGAATCCATGCGTGTGTCCCGCCGCGAAAAAGATACGGTAGTTTTCCCGGTCCTACACTTAGCGGCTTGCCGACTTAGTCACTTCAGGCAGATTTGATTGACTCCGGCACTGAATTGCGTTTTCTATTTTCTTTCGATCTCTCATTTTTTTGCTTACTTATTTTAATTCTTTTATAACTTTTTGTTGTTTTGCTGCTTACCTGGCAATGATGGGAAAAACAATCTTAACTTCAATAACATATTTCGACAATGCGAAATAAGAATAATGTCGTGTATTGATGGGCGTGTCGCGTCTCGCACGGCCTAGTTTGATTTCTTGGAGTTCAAGACAGTAGGGTATTGATCCTGAAATCAGTCTTTAAACCTTTCCTGACTTCAAGATTTAATTACATGCCGAATGTTACCGTGATTTTCATCGCGTACCGCTGTCATGTGCACCTGATTTTCATTTAGATTTAGAATGCGATTCATGCAGTTTTGTAACGTTATTGTGGTGGTGGTGCTTCATTGCACCAGAAGTGGATCATCCCAACTTGGAATGTTTCTCCCTGACAACCCGCACAACCCGCCCAAAATGGATGACCATCTGGCTGCAGAAATGATAAGGAATGGGCTGCAAGCAGAGATTGTGGGAGAAGTGGCCGATGATAAGAGTAAATGTCGGAAGCTGCTGATGGGTGAGCATTTTGTCGACACATGTTCACTGGAGTCACGGAGAACGTACAGGTATGCATCTAAATAAGCAAAATGTGGTGCCGTAAGTAGCGAGTTTGAAGGATCACTGGCGGGTTTCAGCAATCGTTTTCGACAAGGACTAGTATCAATTGATGCAGCAGCTATACGTAACAGTGGAACACACGCTCACCGAACTGTTCACTTTCGGAAGACTGACGCAGCGCATGATGCAGATGTCATGAAACTGTGGAGGGAGTACGCTACGAGGTCCATCCATTACTGGTTGCCTTTAGGAATTCTCTGCGAATGTTTATGGTGAGAATTTGTTCAGCTGTAAAAACTATTCTCACTCCTTAGCTTCTTGTCGCTTAATCCTGAATGTTCACACGACACCACTTCGAGAGAAAGCACCCTTCGGTGGACCCGTTGAAAGGAGGCGAGCATTACGGGCAATACGTGGAGCGCTATATGCTAGTTGCCATGGGGGACGTCATCGGTGAGCGGCTACTATTTGTAACTGGATCTGAAGGGAATCACCATGAATGTTCAGATGTGGAAGAATCGTAACAATAGATGACGCCATATTTTCTGAACGAATGCTCCTCGATTTTTTGGAAATGACTCAACAAGTGGGAGTTACGGATCCGGTGTGCGGATCAACTTCGTCGAATTCTATAGTTTCCTGAAGAGGCATATCGATGCGAGTATGGTTTAGTTCTCAGGATGGAATATTTCAAAAGGTTCAAATGTCGCAAAGTATGCATTGATTAGATGGCGGTCAGCGAAGAATGGAATTTGTGGGAAGAGCGATCGAGAACTCGCAGGACTATCTGGCTCAGCTCAAGAGCGAGATGAGGTCTCGCGACACGTACAAGGGACTGGTCAGCACCAGAAAACCGCGGAAAGTCCATCTTGTTTGCACACAGCATTCTGTGCAAAACATTCACAGGACACCGTCTTTTTCAGGAGTACCCGAAATATGGGGTCATGCGAGTGATTGTCGATCACTCTGTAATCGACAAAAGTGTCGAAGAAGTAATGAAGGGCTTTGCAAGAGACCCCGAAGCGCCACTTCGTGTCGAATACAATTTCGTTATGAGGTGTGCTACAAAGTTGTTTCTGGTTCTATACACAGTAATTGTATTTCAGTGCACTCATTGCGTATATCATGCACTGTAATGCAACGAGGAACAAAGTTGTTTACAAGATGATTGTGGGGAGTATGGTCGAAAGACCCGATGAATCGCTGGGCCTGATCAAGTACACGGAGACTACCGCGGACTGGCTCTGAAATCTACTGGGTAGAGATTTTCCGATACATTCAGCCCTATCGCGGACCTTCTTTGACATCAACCTTCATGTTGGCTGCTATCCCAATCCAAAGCAGCGCTTGAGGACGGGTGAGCGGACCGCATGTAGAAACGGTCTGTTCGTTTTGGACACGAAAGCACCTATGTTTAGGACACTATAACAGACTGCGCGCATTGTACGTGCAAGCTACACGGGCAAGAAAATGCATAAAATGTTATTATTTCAGCATCACGGAAGAGCGTGGGCTTGGTGACATGAGCGAGGAAAAAGACCCCTTTTTCTTGGGATGGACCGGCAGACCTGTCTCATACGCCTATGTCCACCCCCTTCTCAAACGATTCCTGCTGCTGATCAACTGCGAAGGATAGGCATCACGTGTAATGCAGTGAGTTGCAGCAGTTGTGCACCCCCTCCCTCCGTTGAATACCGTTTAATCTTTGGTAATGTGTTATAGACGAGGCATGCATCGAGCACAGTATCAGTCTTATCTTGACCAAGACCGAGGCGAACGTAGAATGGAAACTGCTGACAAGGACGTGTCCAAACTATTAAGTGAATGTCGCTCGTTTTCCTCGTCGATTCCGACCCTTAGGAATGGTGTAGCTGTTTAGGGCACTCACATTCCTGGCTCTCGTGATGCGCGTCGACTAGCAGAGTTCTAATCAAAACAGTTGCAGCACATGCGGCACCTCGCTCTGATCATGCTCAAGATTCCGATGAACTAACACCCACTAACACAACGTACGCAACTCCAATATTATGTGGACGAATTCGCAAAACCTGCAGTGAGAGCTCATCGATGTCTAAGGACGTTAGCAGAGAGGGACAAAATCCTGAAGCGATGAAGTAGCGGCAGCCAAGAGACTTGTCAAGTTTAGAGGGTATGCTTTCTGTGACTGAGTTTCGAATGCTCCTCCCTGAGTCATTTCTATAGCTTTGATACAGTCGCGGAATCATTGGCTGAACCGGACGTAGACGAGGAATGTGCAGCGAACTGGACACATCTGAAGACGAAGGTAAAGAGGGAATAATGCAGGGCGATGAGGCATACGTCCCTTCAAGGCCTGTTGGTGTCTTTACACTACATTAAGTCTAATATCATTCTCATTTGTACAGCATTGATTCAGAAAAATCTACACCGAAGGCCAAGCGGAAATCTCCTAGAACACAGCAAAAAATTTCACCTCCACGACAAGGTATTGGGTAAACTTATTGTTACACAGCGAATGAAACATTTCTAGAAAAAAAAGCGAAAATTTTTTTTCAGTATCTGATTTGGACGAAAGCTCTAGCGACGACGAGTCAGCAACGACAACGCGTTGCAAGATCGCTGAAAAAGGGTGCGTGAAAACAGGTTTAGAGTTTTGTTCAGTGTCTTCAACTCTGTATGCAAAAATAGTATCAATCACGAAACGCAGTGCTCATCCGTTGAATCGTTATACAACGAATGTATGAACGTAGACAAATGGACTGAATATCGCAGTAATATGGTTCTGTTTGGCGGTCGTTGGTACCGCGACGACAGTAATGACCACGGCTGGAATACGGGCGAAATTGCAGCTTAAAAGAGGCGTGAACACCATAACAACAGCGCTAGAAGATTGCGCCCAAGGAGGGTGCATTCAGACACGTTCCGATTGCCAATGAGTACGGCACCACCTATGGAAAGGAACAGTTTTAATAAAGCTTTATACTAGATTCACTGGTTGGAAATCAAGGGAAGTTCCCAGTATACTTGCTGTGGCTATTGTATTTACAATGGATTTTCACAATTCTGCACGGAAGTGTGGGTGTAGTTAAAGTTTAAGCGACGGACCAAGGAATAGTAAATGTGCCCCAAGTCGGTAACTAGAACGTCCCAAGCATTCGCGGGAGGAGGGATGTTGTATGGCGTATTGGTGACTTCGCAAAAAGAGTTCTACCAGGAATGGAGCGTTTCAATTCTACTCACGAAGACCACGTTGGTTTGGTGGAATCGTGAACGTCTGCATATAGTAATCTTCTTCCTCTCTCTGATCGTCCATTTCGTGCGTAAAAATGAGTGTATTGTAAGGTGCCTCCACGAACGCTGGGTGGGGTGTTGGACCACCTAGAATTTTACACTTCTTTCCCTATCACAGGCTGTGTATAACGCGGCCTTGAGAGTTATCATCCTCTCCAAGGCGTTCACTGAGATACTGATTTTTTATCCTGAATGGAGCATGAAGGGTGAGGGGTAAGGCCGCTTTCATAGTTCGCAACCATGTAAAGTTCCCGCATTCTTCACGGTGGCACACGTGATTGTGATTCAAACGCCTGCATCCAAAAGCGCGGTAAAGCCCATCGACCGCTTTTGAAGCTATCATGCATAGCCTCATTTCTATGGCACTCCTTGGTCACCAGTTAGTTTGCATTTATTTCGCATAATCCGCTACGTTTTTAGTTGAAACTACTTTTTTCATTACCTCACAGTTTTCCCAGCTTTGTTAGCTCTTCATCCTCCTATAACTCGATGGATGCAGGGTGCTAATTGCATTATGGAATGCATGGAAAATACTGTGCAATTGCATTTGCAATCGCACAGTATTTTCCATCTGTTCATTCTGCACCCAGGACCCCTTTGATCGAGCAACAATTATGTCCGTCGGGAGAAACCCTGCGAAGTCGACACTTGAAACACGCACCTGACAGAAAAATCATGCGACGGTGCCGCCCTTAGGCTGCGTTCACTGCTCGCCACCGTGAAGAAATGCGGGCACTATACATGGTCGCGAACTATGAAGGCGGCCTTACCCCTCACCCTTCATGCTTCATTGAGTGATAAGGAATGAGTATCACAGTGAACGCCCGCCTCGTTGGCGAAGATGATAACTCTCAAGGCCGCGTTCATAAACGGCCCCTCCGCGCCCTCCGTGGCCTCCGCGGAATTCTAGAATGAGCAAAGTATACGTATCGATTTGGAAATTCCGCGGAAGCCACGGAGGCCGCGGAGGCGCTGTGTATGAACGCGGCCTAATGCGCTTACGAGTAACGTGGACGATTCTAGAACAACACACTCAATAACCGTACTGCACCGGATTTGCCGCTGAGCATCCGTTTTTGGGATGCGGGACGCATTCTACTTTTATGCAGAGTTGCAGAGGCTCATTGAGTGCCTCGTGCCCTTAACAATGACTCGCCGGACCAATGTGCAAGCCAGTGTCCTCTCAGACGAATCTCTGGTAGCAATTTACCGTCCTCTGAGGGTAGAAAGCTGGGTTGGCCAATTAAAACTCGTGGCTGGGGTGGCGCCAAATTGGCTCCTGATGGCGCCAGATGGCGCCATGGTTGAGCGAATGTCACTTCCGTGAATAGGGCGCAGAATAACCCCATTAAGCAAGTTTATACAGATTTTGTTGAGAAAAGTTGTAGCGCTTAGGTGGCTCCAAGTGGCGACAAAATGGCTTCTACTGGCGCAAGATGGCGCGATAGCTGGAAATGAATGACACTTCCGTGAACAAGGCACCGAATAACCCCAGTAGGCAAGTTTATAGCCAAAGACATGCAGTAATCAAGTGAAAAATCGGCTATGGTGAGCGCAGAGCCACGTGATTTATGTATGCTCTGCAAATGACGATCACATCATCATTCCACAAACCAGGTTGCGAGTTTATAAAGGTTTTGGGTGAAAAAGGTAGTGGCGCCAAACTGGCACCAAATGGCACCGAACGGCGCCACGGCTTAGAATGGATGTAACATTCGTGGCCAGGGCACCGAGAAACCCCATTATGCAAATTTATACAGACTTTTTTGGGAAGGGTCGTGTCGCCAAAGTGGTGCTAGTGTCGCTAAGTCGGCACCTAATGGCGCCAAATGGCGCCACGGCTAGAAATGAATGCCACTTTCGTGAACAAGGCACTGAACTTGAGTAAGCAAGTTTATACAGACCTCGTTGAGAAAAGTTGTGGCGCCAAATGACGCCAGCTAAAAACCAATATTCTAGAACATGAGCATACCCTCGGATAGAGCTCGGTGAGCTGATTCCAATCATATATGGGTATCTATACAAAAAGTCAACAAGAACAGCTCTATAACGAAAAAACGCGGATCGGCGTTTTTTTCGTAATTTTTGAGCACTTTACGGTGGGTACTGTACGCAGCCACGTCTAACGCATCTCAGGAATTTTGTGTGTAGTACATGGGTGGGAGTTTCTCGTACCTATTATGTGGTCTTTACTTACACCGCAGGCCAGTGTCCACCAAAATTTTATCGCACTTATCGTGCCGTAAAGGATTCCACGTGTGGGAGGCGTTGGATTTCGAGGAGAACACTGAGCTGGACCTACAGAGGGTTTCATGTCTCGTGTTACTGCACTGAAACGGGAAATGGTCAAACAATCGTTACTGTTTGGGCTTTTGCGGAAGGCAATGGGCGCACCAGCTTGGGTAAGGTGGTCTGTAACAGCTAGAAACTGACAATGCGATCTCCTCTTCGAGCACTTCACTAAAGAGAAAGAGTGACGTCAGAATATTGCATATGTGGCTGGAAATGATCCACTTGCTGCATTTGTCAAGCTGCATATGTAGCTACAACTCTCGACCGCTGATCATCATGACATACAGTCCCTGTTTCCGGTCGTTTCCGCTGGGACGGGTCGGGAGGGATGGGTTGAGCGTGGAGCCAGCCGGCTCTTCACCAGATGTCGAAGCAAGCAAACGATAATGATTGGTGGGAAACGGACTCGCGCCACGCCACACTCCTTGGGAGCGAAAACGACTACAAACCTCAGATATCAGCCCGTGCCCTTCGCTTGAAGTAGATAATGCTTCTGATGCCAGTGCTCATACAAGGCTTCCACCCAAATCGGTGGGCTTGTTATTGAGATCCCGTGAAAACTGGTCAACAAAGGGTATTTTTCAATGGGCAGTTTCCCGAAACCTAGTGAGCTACCTGCCCGAAAGAGTGATGCCAGGAGGATGGCTTGTATTGATATCTTAACAGAGGTAACTGAATAGATTCGTAAGTGGAGCGCGAAGAACAGAATTCATGCTAAGTGTTCCGAAAATGGAGAAATTACATGGTACAGCTAAGGTTAGGCTATCCGGACCGTGATGTGAACCCGTGTTTGCTATTGCTCTCAGAAAACAAATAAAGCACCTCTGACAACATGCCGGATCCGATCTCTATCTTCAACCGAACCGAACTCTGCATCCACCGAAGCACCAATCGACACTTGTGTTTTATTTTTGTCTCTACCGCACCTGAAACATTCTTGTTGCTGAAGCAGATTACCAACCTTCGTCCGACAGACCTACTCTTCTTCGACCATTGTCTTCACTGTAATGTCGGGAGTCGGCGCAGTCTCATCAGCCATCGTCCTCATTGTCTTATCGGTCGTTAGCGTCGAGGAAGGTTGTCCGGTGATTGGAGACAGCGTACTAATGCAGCTCCATTACTTTGGCATCGGCAGCTGTGATGCTGGGGTCAAAGTGGTAGAAGAGAGAGGTTAAGAAAGCTTGGAGGGATCGGTGCCGACGGTAGCGGATCAAATCCATTGCAAAAGAAGAAACACGAGTCAAGCGAGTGGTGCTAATAGAAAGACCACTCCTTGATCTATAAGTGCTCACATTACCGGTAGTCCTCAGGTAATGGGCAAATATTTTGAGTTCGAAAAAATGGTGACAGAACTTTCCCGTCAAATTAATTTTTGCCTGTTTCGCCATTTACAGAAGTAATTTCCCTGATGGCCTACTTTTCAGTTTTCTTCTCTCCCCTACCACTGATCCACCCATACGCGTCACTATTTGTTCAATCCTCTTTTCTCTTTCCTTCCTTCCTTCCACATTGAAGCGGCTGCTGACCGGAGCTCAGTGGCGAAGGCGCAGGCCATT